AACTTGACAATATTTAAGTAATTCAATCTGCTTGAAATTCTCTCTAATATAACTCTAATATAACTAATAACTCTTTGACATTGGGTTCTCTATGGAGTTAAGTTACCTCCACATAGAGCTACTATATCATAGGCATATACTATTTCATTTTTAGGTATCATAACTCTCTTCTTAGACCTGAGATCATCTTATCAAGTTAACAAATCTATTAACATGCTGTCCTACTTCATCCCTAGTCTTATCTGCACAAAGTGGAGCATAAAAGCAAAGGAAATTTGATAAGGTTTATGGCGAAAGTCTATCCCATTTTAACATTCCTTGTTCTTTCTTTCTTTCTCCCATTATGACATTCCTTGTTCTTTCTTTCTTTCTCTACAGGGCATCTAGCAACCCATTACATAACTCTCCTTTATTCTTCTCCATCCTATCCTCTATCTCTCTTCCTTCTCACTCTCGCTCGCTCACCTAAAGGCACCAGTTTGCGCTTCTTGGGATTGATGTTTTCGTCGTTGTCGTCATCGTTGGTAAAGACGCCCGTTGTCTCGATCACCTTCTTCTTGAGACTGTTGCCGAGGGTGAGAGAGATGAGCGGCATGCTCATTGCCGAGGCGGCCGCAGCGGCTGCTGCCACCGTCTGATGGTCATTCTCTATGGCATTCATTGTGGGCGTATGGATGTTGGCTAATGAGTCCCTGGACTCGCTATTCTGTCGGCTGACACTATCGTCGCCGCCTCCGCCGCCAGCTGGATTGCTGTTGTTGCTAATGTTGTTGTTGTTGCTGTTCTTGAGATGGGAATAGCCGCTGGCATTGGAGGCCGTGTCGGCCATAGAGGCACGATCATCGTTCGTCGATATGGAATCCTCCGATGGCGGTGGCTTATGCACCACCGCACCACCTCCAACGCCAATCACGCTGTCTCGGCTGTCATAATCCTCGTTCAGCTGTTGCTTGCGTCGCTCTGCGTTCAGCTGCTGCTCCTGTTGCTCCTGCTGCAGTGGCTCGGCGTCACGTCGCTGCGCCTCCAGATTCACATTGATCAGAATACGCGGCTCGTAGAGTTTTTCGATTTCACGTCGCGCCTTCTCGAACTCCTGCGAAGGATTCTCATATTCGCCGCTAAAGATTTTGTTCTTCAACTCGGTCAGTTCGTCTGCCTCCTTTTCGCGATCCTTCGAATCGGCATCCGCTTCGCGCACCCGTTCCGCCAAGCGTTGCTGCAGCTCACGGCCTCGATAGTAAAGTGCATCGTCTCGTTCGTCATCGTAGTCTTCAACGAATTCCTTCAAGCGCTTGGCGTCCTTTTCGCGCTCCTCCTGACGCAGCATCTCCTTCAGGCGATACTGCAATGATTGATGATAATTTGTTAAGATTAATATGCTTCAATGACATGCGCTGATTCTGCATGGACCCTTTCTCTATTTGCTTTGATGACTCTCGCTTAAAGATAGTATACCCTAGTCTATTCCAATAGTCTTGACTTATACTATAATGACTACTTCAAACCTAATAGAGCCTACATCCAAATTATAATAGTTGAGTTACTACTACTATGTATAATATTTGGATTCACCCCAGCTAAAGCTTAGTGTGTCTCGCTCTTCACCTTTTCGTTCTCCTTGGCTTTGCGCTTCTCGCGTATCTCCCAGTTGGTCAGACGCTCCTGGTAGGCGGCCTCCTTTTCGCGCGCCTTCTTCTCGGCCTTTTTGCGCTCGCGCATCTCCTCCTCCATCTCCTTTTCACGACGAGCATCGCGCACCGGCTTGATGATCTTCTCTTCGCGCTCACGCTCACGTTCACGCTCTCTGTCCCGCTCACGCATCTCGATGCGCTCTCGCTCGCGCTCCCGTTCACGTTCCCGCTCACGTTCTCGCTCACGGTCACGCTCCCGTTCACGTTCACGCTCACGCTCCTTGTCGCGCAGCTCACGCATCTCACGCTCGCGCATCATTTCGCGTTCCCGCTCGCGCTCACGATCACGGTCACGATCACGCTCACGTTCGCGTTCACGATCGCGTTCCTTGGTGCGCGACTTGGAGCGTCGATCGCGACGTCGTCCCTCCTTGTGGGCGTCAGTGGTGCTGGTGGTGCGTTCCTTGTGATCCTTGGACAGGCGCGCAGGCGACTCATCGATGGTGAGTACCGACTCCTTGCGACTGCGCTGAGTGACTGGATCCTTGCTGGGCTGTTCCTTGTCAGTGATTTCCACAATTTCCTCCACTTCGCCGCCCACCGCAGAGGGTTTGCTGGCGCTGGCGCTCGCACTGGTAGCACCGCTGGCGGCGCTGCTGTTGTTCTTCCGCTCTGTTTCGCGCTGTTGTTTTTTACGCTCGCGCTCCTTTTCCTTCTCCTTACTGGCCAGCTGTTTCTCCTTTTCCTTCTCCTTCTCGAGCTCCTTGCGGTGCTCGTCGGCTTCGGCACGTTTTCGGAACTTGCCAATCTCACTGCTGATCAAATTGCGTTTCTCTTCCTCGAGCGCGTTGTCGTTCAAGGATTTGATCTTGATGTCATCTTCGCCGCGTCGCGTCTTCTTGTTGCGATTGCTGCTGCTGCTGCCATAGAGGTCGCCGCGATTGCTGCCATCGAAGCCCTCGAATTCGTGTTTATGCTCCTCGAGCAGTTCGTGCATCTGACTGGTGGCAAACTCGTCCTCAGTCTTTTCATCCACGGCATTGGGACCGCCCTCGCCATTCTTGCACTCCTTCTCCTTGTAATCCTCTATTAGCACTTTGTTCTTAGCATCCACCTTAGCCACCAGCTTCTTACCATCAATCTCCAGTTCGCTAAGCAGCCGCACAGATCTCATCGCCGCAATGGGACCGCTGCAGACAAAGGATGCGTAAGGGAGAGAGGGAGAGAGGTAGACCAATTAAATACCGTTTATGGCATAGAACCCGACAATGTTTTAGCTTACTCGAATTCACAAAATCCGAACGTGGAGACACGCTTCCAATTGATGACAACGCCACAGGTGGCCAATATGCGCTTCAGCAACGATTCCGGGACGCGTTCACTGATGTTGCCCACAAAGACAGTAATGACGGGTCCACGGAACTGAGGCTGTGGCTCTGGCGGTCGATGATACACTGTTGGCTGTGAGCTGATCGTCGCCGAGTTGCGATAGCTGCGTGGCGGGGGTATCGGAGGCATCAGCTAGCATGCCAAGCAGTGAAAAAAGAAATTTTCAATTCCCGGCAACATTTTGGAATAATTAATATTATATCGACTTACATGCGGCGGTGGTATTGATGCATTCATATATGGCGGCATCGGCGCACGCGGTGGATATGACATTTTGGTTGTTCCTTTTGTTGTGCCTTCCTGTTTTTAAATACTATTATTTTGTATTTTTGTATTTGTTGTTGGCGTGCGTGCGAATTAAAGCCGACACATTCATACACACCAACACACATGCAAGCACATTCGCTCACTCACACAAGCACACACGCACACATGCACGCGCGCACACGAAACAGGCACACACACGGGTGTGTTGGAGTGAACGTGAATCGTGTACGATATATTCGTAGATCAAATGCAAATATGTGTACACAGTGCTAACAACAAGAGCGTGTACGTTCAAGCCAACCACACGCGTATATTAGTCTTGAATCGCGTTTTTTGTCTTTCAATTTGTTAGTTTTTGTACATACATATGCAATTAAAGAAAACTACACGTAAAAAAGGCTGCTCTCAAATTTTCACCACTGCAGCCGCTGAACATAGAGATGGACAAGCGTGTAAGCGCTCTTGTTATCGCTTGCGCGTGCGATATATGTACAAATGCAGTCCGTTGTGCGTTGACAGCTAATCGACCATCTGCAGTGCTGTATAATTCGCGAAAATCTACGATCAGCTGTTTCATTAAATGAAAAACACGCACAAATACAATAAAAACATTCGAGATTTTATAACGAAATAGAGTACATATATATAGCAAAAAACGAAAATATATCAAATAATTCGATATATAAACATCCTGGCAGTTGATATTGGCATTTAACAGCTGCTGACATATATTTGTGTCTGTGCTGCGGCTATAAAAAGCTAAGTTAAATTTTTATTATTTTGGAAATTTATTTTAATTATTATACAATGCGTCTGGGTGGTGTGTTACGATGCCGCAGCGTTATTAAACAGCAATATGTGCCGCAGCACAAGCCCGTTTTGAATGATGATATAAAACGCTTGGAGGAGTTCTTGCTGTCCAGACCAAATATTTTGGTACTTACAGGCGCGGGCATATCAACAGAATCGGGTAAGCGTAAGCTAACTGCTATAAAACGAATTAAGCCGGACTAGCGTTATATAGCAATAAGCTTCTGTGAGTTATCTAATACATCTTGGGCGCAATTCTTAGTTAGGGATTTCTCACTGTAATTATATTAATATACCTTTCCCCTATTGGCAGGCATACCCGACTATCGTTCCGCTGGCGTTGGCCTGTACGCGCGCACCAATCACAAACCCATCCAGCATAGCGAGTTCTTGAAATCCGACGCAGTACGAAAACGTTATTGGGCCCGGAACTTTGTGGGCTGGCCAAATTTCTCAGCGACCCAACCGAATGCTACACATTATGCTTTGGCGCGCTTTGAGCGCGAGCTGCGCATCCAAGCGGTGGTCACCCAGAACGTGGACCGTTTGCATAGCAAGGCAGGCACCAAGAACATTGTGGAGCTGCATGGCAGCGGCTATGTGGTCAAGTGCTTGGACTGCGACTATCGTATCGAGCGGCACGAGTTCCAAAACATACTCACCTCGATGAATCCGGCATTCAGCGATGCGCCGGACATGATACGGCCCGATGGCGACGTCGAGATCCCAGCCGAATATATTGAAAACTTTAAAATCCCCACATGCCCGCAATGCGATGGCAACCTGAAGCCAGAAATTGTATTCTTTGGCGATTGTGTGCCAAGGGAGCGACTCGATGCCATTGCCAAGATGATCTACACCAGCGACGGACTGCTGGTGCTCGGCTCCAGTCTGCTTGTCTTCTCCGGCTACCGCATAGTGCTGCAGACGAAGGACCTGAAATTGCCCGTGGCCATTGTCAACATTGGAGAGACGCGGGCCGACCACTTGGCTGACATCAAGATCTCCGCCAAGTGCGGCGATGTGTTGCCCAAGCTCTTCGACTATCGTCCCACAACTTAAAGAAAAACAACGGATTTGTAATGCTCATGAAACTGTAAAAATATATATATATTATTTTTTAAAACATTGAAGAACCCTTTGGCACGGCACTACATGTTGTTTTCGATATATTGATCGATTTTGTCGTAGACGCCGCGATCGCTCTCACGATACCAAACGTCGGTCTCCACCAGCTGCAGCTGCATCAGTGTCTCCTCTGAGAAATCGCCAAGACGCTTATCGTCGATGGAAAAGCGTAGGGTGCAGCTGCCAACGCACGGATTTTCTAGCTTTTCATTGTACTCGTAAACAACAAGATAGAAATAGCCGTCGCTGAAAAAGGATTCGCGCAACGGCAGCGGTGGCTTAAGGAAATCGGCCAGCAGCTGCTGAGTTGATATGGGTTGACTATCTGGCAACTCAATGACGCTTGACTCAACGGGAATTGGTGGTGCAGGCAAGGGCTGTGGCTCCTGCAGCTGCTGTGACTCCTTGGCTGCCAATTCATTTAGCTTCTCGCAGCTAACATTTAGACGTTGCGAGGACTTAATAGTGATGATGGTGGCGTCGACCAGCGAGGACTCGTCCTCGGAGAGAACTGGGGAATCATCGTCAGCTGCGACGCTCAGCTCGTTGCAATTCTTAGGCATATAGAATGAAGAGTCAATGGACTCATATGATGTTGTTAACTGTTGCTTGGGCTGCTGGAGCTTGGCCTCCACCTCGGCGCACATGTTGCATTTGAAATTGTTCGGTTCGTTGGCGGAGGCACGCGATAGACGCATTGTGCCTACATAGCACTTGTAGTGGGTGCCGACAGCAGCGCAAAGGATGCACGGTTGAATAATCCAGGTGTTGCGATTGAAGTCGCGGCCCTTTGGGCACAGGCATATGGCCTGCTCGCAGCGCATGCGACGGTTGTGTAGCTCGCTGTAGGCGTTTGGCTGGCGCTCCCAGGTGGCATCGCGGTCGGGCACGAAGACCGACTGAAGGCGTATGTTGTCATGGAAAGTCTTCGAGCGGCACCAGAGACAGCGCAAGTAGTAGCCAGAGGCCAGAGCATAACGACGCATGCATGTGCGATGGGCGAAGCCCTTGCGGCAACAATCCCCGTAGGTGACATTGTGGAGCAGAAAAGGGGAGATCGGGCGGAAGCAGATGTCACACTGGGCCGACTTGGGCGGGTCGGCCACCAGCTGCCGCTTGTAGTCATCCATCGGTGCACAATTCTCGCAGTAGCTGCGGAAGTCATCACAGAATTGATAAACGCAACGATTTTCCAGGCCGCATATCATGTGGAAAACAATGCGGCACTTGAAGCAAATCACGCTGGCGCCCTTCTCGCGGCAGAAGGCGCATTTACGCTTCTGGGCAGCGACTGCCTCCTGGCGTATGTCGCGCAACAAGAAGCCCAGAATTCCGCTCGAGTCGCCGCCGCGTTGTGGCAAGTTCGAAGATAGCAGCTGTTGGCGGCAAAAAACTATGCGCATAAAGAATCATTTAAATGGTTTTTACTTACCAGACAATAGTAATGCACGGTTACATTCTGTTTGACCATCCATTCGCCGTAAAGTAATGCGTCGTCTTCTTCTTCGTTTGCATTGTTCTTATTGCATATATCACATGTACGCATTTTTTTAATATTTTTATTCAAACCACGATTGAAGCAACGCAAAGCATTACATTTATCGATTACTGATATATTGAAGCCCATTTTGACTGCTCAACACTGTTAGACTGAATATTTTATACAAGCAGCTCACTCACATCACTAAAACACACACACATAAAGTCAGCAGCTACTACGGCAACAACAAAAATTCGACGACGGCGACGACGACGACGACGATACCAACATAACATCAAGAGAGGCATTGACTAAACTGGCTGTTATTTATATAAATACACATAGAAAATCCTAACACAATGGCGTATGACTTAAAAAAGGAGTCTGACGTTAAGGAATATGTGGAAAAGCTGGGCGTTGAATATCGCTTTGGCTGCTATTCTGAAAAGAAACCGGAAGGTAAATACCAACAACAACAACAACAACAGCAGGCGGCCAATATACCAGAAGCAGCAGCAGCAGCAACAACAACAATAACAACATAACCTAGGTTTTCTTCTTGTATTCGTAATTGAATTACAAAACAAAACATCGGCAACTTTGTAAATGATATGTGAAAATCTAAAGCTGTGGATGAAATTCCAACTGATTGCACAATCTAAATATGCATTTGTTTTTACAAATATTTTCAGTGTGCCACTTGCTGGGCGATTATTTGGAGGGAATTAAGAAGGATTTCGAGAAGGCATCCAAAGTATACAAATCAACATGTGACGACTATGGATATGCCAAGTCCTGCTATAAATATGGCAACTATAGCTTCCTGGGCAAGGGTAAGAGCGGCAGCAAAGGTGAGCCTCGCGTCGCCTATCAGTACTATGAGAAGGGCTGCAATCTGAACGATTCGGATGCTTGTCTGCATTCCGGTCTGCTGCTCGTCTCACGCTCCATGCCCAAAGAGATTGACCGAAATGTGCCTAAAGTGAGTTGGGTCCAATTATACCGCCGCAGCCCTAACGTCTCTTAATTCGATCTGATTCCGCTCTGATATTTGCAGGGTTTGCAGTTTCTCACCAAGAGCTGTGACATGAACAATGCCACTGCCTGCTTCTATTTATCTGGGATGCATATTTCGGGCGTGCAGAAGAAGCCGGAGGATGCGTCCACCGCGGCGCAGGCCAAAACGCTTAAGGACACCGATTACATTGTGCTCAAGGACATGAAGAAGGCCTTTCAGTTCGCCTACAAGGCGTGCGAATTGCGTAACATGTATGCGTGCGCCAATCTTAGCCAGATGTACAAACGCGGCGATGGCATCGAGAAGAACGAGAAGGAGGCGGAGAAATATAAGAAGCTGGCGCTCGAAATGCAGGAGGAGATGAAGAAGCAACAGGAGACGCTCAGTTTTCAACAAGGCGTCGGCATGCCAAACTGATTTATCCTATCAATATCTACCTATATGTACATGCGCATGTATACAKATATATATATATTGTTATGTACATGTATATATATTTGTGTGCGTGTATAGTCAAGTTTCATATCCTTTTGTTTCTATTATCTCTACTTTTTGCCTATTTTGTTCCGTTGAGATTTCGTAAAGATTTGCTATAACTAATTTAAGTGGGTTATATATATATATACTATATACATATAGGTATATATGTATTTTTTGTTTTTTCGTGTATATAGACAGCGGCATTTGCGTTTTCGGCATGTGTTTTGAAAAATTCCTAGTTTTAATTGTTAAAGTTTAAACGATAAACCAGAGAAAACGAAGAAAAAAAAACAAGAACCTTATATAGTCCCGTTGATACCTTAATTAAATACAAAGAAACAAACCAAAATCAAGCACAAACACAAATGACTTTCATATATACATATATATAAAGCAAATAAAAAACTGCAATGATAATGCTAATCAGAGCTGTGAAATATAATCAAAGCGTTTCAATATGACTAGCTTAAACTATGCAGTCGATTCCAATCAGATTCAAGTGACATTATATTGCAAAGGGAATGTTTACCACAATCTTTAGATTGATTTAGCAATGTTCTAGCAGTAATTCGGCACAGTCTAATTGGAAATGCAATTGGAAAGACAGTACTAATTAGAACAGAGGTATTCACTCCAATAAGTCATAAGCTTAAACTCTCGAATTGTGCAACAACGAGAATGCCAATGGGATTACTATTGCAGTAATGAGGCATGTAATTTAATAATTAATAATTAATTTAT